TGCTTTTTTTACGAACTCATCTACTTCTTTCTCTCTAATTGGTCCCAGGTAATATTTGACGACGGGGGCAGCTGGACGCTAAATATTACCTGGGATGACTATCGATTAGATCTCTCCTTTTGTTTCCTTGTCAGTAGTGCCAGTGTTTGAGGGGAAGTCGTTAGCGAGTTTGTTTGTGTGTGTTTCCTGTGCTGGAGGCTATAGCAAGCCGCTTTGGACAGAGCCTCTATAGAGAGGACTTAAGTGATTATCATTGATGAAAGCTTCTTTGGGATTTTGTTTTTGGTATTACATGGCTGGGAGCAGCAAGAACAACAGACACCATTGCTGCTTCGAAAGACAGAGGGAAGTGGAGGTCCATGATCGCCCACGCCAGTCGGCAAGGCACCGGATGATGATGATTACATGACATTTTATGAGGAGTGGGGCCGGGTGGTGGTGTTAAATGTGAGGCAGCGTGGTGGAATCAGGCTCTCGTCAATTTTGGGGCATTTAGAGTTATTGGTATCATCTTAAAGCTTGTTCACTTGTCTTTATTTAGATGGAAAAAAACATCCATTTATCTTGAGTACAAGTCGAGATATTTGCGGATGAAGGGGATGGGGGTCACCTGTTTTCAGAGGTAAAATTGGTGAGAAAATGGCCGCCGCCAAAGATTGGTTATTTCTTTAGCTTATGAGTCCGTGGCGACTGAAAATTTACATTTATTGTACGTTAAATCAACGCTTTTCAGAAAAATCCACTCAGAAATGTGTTCTTTAAGGGGCATGAAAGGTGTTTTAGCCCCCCCCCCCCCCCCCCCCAAAAAAAAAAATTGATAAAAATTCACAAACCTGCGGGAAAATGCCAGTTTCTTCACTTTGATTATTTAGACGAGAGCCTGATTCTACCACGCTGCCTCACAAATGGTGTGCGGTTTATGTTTTACTCCTTCTCTCCTTTAAAACGTGTATCGCCCAATTAGACACCACTCGTAAAATGTCATGCGTGTCGCGTGTTCAGATGAGACGGCAGAGAGGAGTGGCGGATGCTCTGGATTCTGATGCGGTTTTCCTGCTTCGTTGACCTATAAGACCCTCTCTCCTCCATTTAGATATCACTCCTCTTTCTGTTTTTTCTGAGATTCTTACTCTCTTATCGTTTGATCTCTAATCCGCGGCGCTTAGAGACCTAATTGTGTTGAAAGTGCCGTAAAACACTAGCTAATACAAGATTGAACAGGGTCCAGGAATCAGAGGAGATTGTTACGGTTTGGCTCCAACACAAGACGTGGCACACAGAAGACTTGTGTTCAGTTGTCATCACGGAAGTCTCTCCTTTTTCTCCTTCTTCTCCCTTCTCCCTTCTCCCTTCTCCCTTCTCCCTTTTCCCTTTTCCCTTTTCCTCCTCCTCTTCCTCTTCCTCTTCCTCTTCCTCTTCCTCTTCCTCCTCCTCCTCCTCCTCCTCCTCTTCCTCTTCCTCTTCCTCTTCCTCTTCCTCTTCCTCTTCCTCTTCCTCTTCCTCTTCCTCTTCCTCTTCCTCTTCCTCTTCCTCTTCCTCTTCCTCCTCCTCCTCCTCTTCCTCTTCCTCTTCCTCCTCCTCTTCCTCTTCCTCTTCTTCTTCTTCTTCTTCTTCTTCTTCTTCTTCTTCTTCTTCTTCTTCTTCTTCTTCTTCTTCTTCTTCTTCTTCTTCTTCTTCTTCTTCTTCTTCTTCCCCTGCTATATCTCAGGGGAAGTCGACCTCTGGTTCTTCAACCTGCTGGGCAACAGTTGCCTAAACTGACTGTATTCCCTACTTAGTGGGGTCCGTCGCCGTCAAGCAGCCACATTCCCATTGTGAAGGTACTCTGTAATATGTCTTTGTACAGACAAGTGCATTCTTAGTTTTAGTAGGAAGCAATATTGTATTTTGCCCAGGTGGCGACGAAGCCTACTCTTAACGAATTTAAGACCACTAAGGGATCTTTAGTGTGCGCAACATGCACACGGGACCTCCAAGATTTTTCGCCCTATTCCAAGAAGGCTAGGTGTTCGATCTTACCGACCCTAAGATCAGGGCTGTGGCTGGAAGACAGCAGTAAGAAGGAGCCAAGGAGAAAGTACATGTTGAACAAGTCAAGAGTAAAGGAGAGAGGAGCCCAATTACCGGGGGTGGGGTGGGGGGGGTATGGAGGTTTTTATAATAATTTATATCAAGTATTTCCGTATACAACTAATAGACAGCTGAAAAGAACAATTCAGGCAACAGAGTTGTGATTCATAAGACGCATGATGCGTATCCCATGGACAGCTAAAAAAACAAATGAAGAAGTCTTGGTTGAAGCGAATTGCAGTGGCAGTTTATGACGAATATACGAAAGCGACAGGCAAAGTTCATTGGACACACAATGCAGAAAGAAGCATTGGAGAATATGGTAACAACAGGAAAGTTTGATGGAAAGAGAGGTAGAGGCAGACAGAAAAAAAAGATACTGGACAAGTTCACAACATGGCTGGGAGCAGCAAGAACAACAGACACCATTGCTGCAACGCAAGACAGATGGAAATGGAGGCCCATGATCGCCCACGCCAGTCGGCAAGACACCGGATTATGATGATGATCTTCGTATAGCAGCAAAAGAAATATGGTTTCTTTGGAGACTGCTGAAAATGTCGTGGAAGGAAAAGAAATCAAATGAGGATGAGCTTAAAACAGCCCACTGCGGATCACCCACTGATAAAAACCATCAGGAAAAGACAAAAGCAGTTTTTGGGACACCTGAATTACGGTCTCGAACATCTAGCTCTCACTGGCAAGATTGAAAGCAAACGAGACATGGGTAGGCCCAGAGCAACCTACTTAGAATACCTAAACAAATGGGTGATGGGGAAAGATCAGGGAAACGTAGCTTTTTCACGAGCATCCGAGCAAAGGAATGAATGGAGAACCACGATCGCTGATGTCTGTCGCAGATCTGGCACTGGGTGATCTCTGTCTGTCTGCTGCGACGTTTTATCCCTCTCATCCCAGGCAACGTAACGCTACCTCAGATCTCTGTCTGTCTGCTGCGACGTTTTATCCCTCTCATCCTTCTTGTTCTTGTTCTTGTTTCAGGAAGCAACATCCCTGCACTCCGGACATGTCCATTGATGCTCCGTTGCTCTCTCCAAAATGTTGCCGAGGGTCTTTCCACTGATTGTGCCAGTGCACGTCTGGTTGAACGTTCTTCTGTTCTTTCCTGCAAGGATGCCAGATTTTCCGCTACCTTTTTTTATTCCCAAAAGCATCATCCTCTCCACGGCAGTACTGGCCTCTGCCTCCCTATCCTCCTCCTCAATCAGCTATCCCTCTCATCTCAGGCAACTTAACGCTACCTCAGAATTATACAGCTCTATCTGCACAGTGCCCAGTTTTCAGAAATTTGACGTCATAGATTTTGAGTTTCACAACATGTCAAGCTTTTTCCGATGCAAATCTTTGAATATCTCGATAATGACTTCGAATAATCTTATGATATTGATAGCGCAGTTGGAACATTTGTGAGGCAGCGTGGTGGAATCAGGTTCTTGTCAATTTTTGGGCATGTAGAGTTATTGGTATCATCTTAAAGCTTGTTCAATTGTCTTTATTTGGATGAAAAGAAATATCCATTTATCTTGAATACAAGTCGAGATATTTGCGAAAGAAGGAGGTGGGGGTCACCTGTTTTCAGAGGTAAAATTAGTGAGAAATTGGCCGCCAAAGAGTAGTTATTTCCTTAGCTTAAGAGTCCGTGATAACTGAAAATTTACATTTTTTGTGTCTTTAATCAACGCTTTCCAGAAAAAATCCACAAAGAAATTATTTCTTTAATGGGTGTGAAATGTGTTGGGCCAAAAAACAAAAGTTTTATAAAAATTCACAAACCTGCGAGGAAATGCAAGTTTCTTCACGTTGATTATTTTGACGAGAGCCTGATTCCACCTCGCTGCCTCACATTTGGTTTCTGACCTCATGGTCTTAGTAACTCAAAACGGCAACCAAAAAATGTCAGATAAAACTATGTAATTCTGAGGTAGCGATAACGGCTGCAGAAATAACTCAGCGCGTTAAAAGGAGATGATTTTTGGAGACAAAAAGAAAAAAAAAGAAAGAAATAGTCGCAATGAACTTACCGCTCCCAGTGTACGTCAGTCTCGTTTTGACCCACATGATTGAGCTGTCGTACTCCGAGCGATCTCGTAACTGACGTTGAAGCTCCAGAATGTCCGAGTTGTCCCTGAAGAGCGCTGTGGTGGCGTTGACAGTGGCACACACTCGCTCTGTCTCGCTGGTGAACATGGCGAAATGGGAAGATGGTGAAATGGGAAGATGGTGAAATGGGAAGATGGTGAAATGGGAAGATGGTGAAATGTGAAGCATGGTGAAATGTGAAGATGGTGAAATGGGAAGATGATGAAATGTGAAGCATGGTGAAATGGGAAGATGGTGAAATGGGAAGCATAGTGAAATGGGAAGATGGTGAAATGGGAAGATGGCGAAATGGGAAGATGGCGAAATGGGAAGACGGTGAAATGGGAAGATGGTGAAATGGGAAGATGGTGAAATATGAAGATGGTGAAATGTGAAGCATGGTGAAATGTGAAGCATGGTGAAATGTGAAGATGGTGAAATGTAAAGATGGTGAAATGTGAAGATGGTGAAATGTGAAGATGGTGAAATGTGAAGCATGGTGAAATGTGAAGATGGTGAAATGGGAAGATGGTGAAATGGGAAGATGGTGAAATGGGAAGATAGTGAAATGTGATGATGGTGAAATGTGAACATGGTGAAACGTTGGTTTTTTAGTAGAGGTTTTACGGCGCTCGCAACTGCATAACGTCATTTGAGCGCCAAGGGGTGGATGTCAACAGAGAAGTCCTTAGAGGGAATCAGACTTACTCTGCTCACCTCTCTAGCCTCAACAGCACAAAGTCTGCTTCGACTATCAAGGCACCCCGGAAATAGCGGGTCACAAGAGAGTGACAAACATACAAAAGAAGTGGAGGAAAATGACGATAGTAAGGATTAGGAAAGAAAAAGCAGCAGTTCCCTGTTGTAGTTCAGGCAGATTTTTGAGCATGACATTGTTGGATCAGCCCATTTACAATTCTACTATACATTAGAACGGAAAATGTCCCCCCCCCCCCCCCGTGTTTGTGTGTCTGTCTGTCTGTGTATGTATGTATTTGTGTGTCTGTGTGTGTGTGTCTGTCTGTCTGTCTGTGTGTGTGTGTGCACAAACTATTTACCTGAACTGTTTCATCCCGTGAGACAGCAAGTATTCCTTTCCGTTGACGTTGAACTCTGTGAAACCACAGGAGACGGTCCGGGTGAAAACTGTACAGGAAAAAAACGGTATAGGTTGGGTTTTTGGCTTGTTTGTTTTTTGTTTTGTTGTTGTTGTTGCTGTTTTCAGTAAGCATTTTACTGCGCTTGTAACTGCCTAGCGGGAGAGAACAACGGGCCAGATCATTATCATTTATATTATTTTTTGTAAGTGTTTTATGGCACTCGCAACTGCCTAAGGTCATATTATGAGCGCACGGGACACATTAAACACTTTCGGTTTAGTAGGAAAATTTGAAATTTGCCCGGGTGGCGGCCGAAGCCTAACCTTATCGATTTTGGACCCCCAAGGGGTCTTTAACGAGCGCAACCTGCACATGGAACCTCCGAGATTTGTCGCCCTTGTTCGAGAAGGCTAGGTGCAGATATGTCCTACCATAAGATCAGGGGTGTGGCAGAAAGACAATAGTAAGGAACCTAGGTGTAGCAGTAGAAAGGCTGCAGAAAGAGTCAGGAGCCCAGAGGAGGAGGCAAAGGAGGTGAGGGGGTGGGGACAGAAAGTGGAGACGGAAGCAGACGACAGAACATTGCTAGAGCAGGAAAGGAGGTGAAAGGAGAACTTTAAGAGAAGAAACGTTTCCGTCGTTATCCGGATTCGAACCCGGAACCTATTGAGTGAGAGGCGAACACTTCAACCTATAGGCCACGAGAGCCCCCTGGTATAGGTTTAAACTCTGAGTTTCAAAACTTGTCAAACTTTTTCGAATGCAATTCTTTGAATATTTTTATAATGACTACATTTTGTATTGGTAAGAGTTTTACGGCACTTGCAACATAATACGTTCATATAAGTGCTGAAGATTTTTTTAGTTTTCGTGAAAATTTTACGGCACTTGCAACACAATAAGGTCATTTAAGTGCCGAAGATTAGAGGTGTTACAAGAGAGTAACAAACACACAAAAAGGCGGGGAGATAGAGAAGATAGATTCTTTATAGGAAAGAAGGACCAATCCACACCAGAGCACCCGCCAACCACCCACATGCCCAAGATTAGGGGTGTTACAAGAGAGTAACAAACACACAAAGATAAGATAAGATAAGATACATCTTTATTGTCCAGATCCTGGCACATTGGTTTGGTGTTCCACCACGAGTACACACACACACACACACACACACACACACGTACACACACACACAAGCACACACACACACACACACACACACACACACACACATACACACACACACACACAAACACACACACGTACACACGTGCACACACATGCACACACAGGTAGGCTTACAATCACATGCATAATATAAATAAGCAGCAATATAAACAATAATAATCGTAAGCTAGATACACACTCAATGTTATTTTAAAAAGAAGAGAGATAGCGACAGTAGATGTTTGATAGGTTTTTAAAAATGTGTAATACGTACCTAGCAATATGAGAAGAGCAGACCCAGAAATCACCGCTTGCAGATCGTCGACATTTCGTAGCGGAGTGCGCAGTCGCAGAGCCTTGTGAAAAGGCCACATCCTGTCTGTCTGCTGTAGGCTTGCGTTATGTGGGGGAGGGGTGGGGGGATGTTCTGGTTATTAGTTAGTTAACACACACATAGA